ACATTCTACAGTACCAATCTATACATATTAAGGCTATCCATATTTATATTGTTTGATATTGTTTGATATTGTTTGATATTGTTTGATATTATTTGATATTGTTTGATATTGTTTGATACTGTTTGATATTGGGAACCCTTTCCATTGTTGGTGCGAGGCATATTTTTAATTAAACAAAAAATGCAATACGTTTTATAAATGACGCAAATAAATGGTTCATGGTGTATATATACATCTTTAACTTAATGTCATAAAATCGGCAAAGAGTTTCAACTAGTAGTCTACAAAAACAGTAATACTTTCCAAGATGAGGACACTGGACTAACCCAAATTGAAACCCTGTCAAACAACACTGTTCATCATCTCCTTTAAATTGGAATTCTTTCACCGTTACATGCATGACACCACCTTTATTTTTTCTATTTCGACTGTACTGTTTATACAATCATTACAACGAATCTTCTTACGAAAGCAGAATTTGCCTGGAGATGAATCTGATATGGTCACATTCATATTATCAATGTACTGTTTATAGTTTGGGTTAATTGGGTTTTATTTTCAATACCTGTAGTATACTATAGCCTCGTTAGGTATGTGCTTACTATTTTTTTTTTTTTTTTTTTTTTTTTTCCTTTTTAGAGAAGGTTGATGAAAAATGAGTTCCTATAATTCATGAGTGTTTGTTTATTCGGATTCTTTGGGCCCTGGGTGAATGAAAATGACGATGTTACTTTACCTGGTTATGATTGTTAAATCTGTTCCTAGAATTGATGGAAGGGATGGAGGAATTGTTATTTATTGTAAAGAAACCACTAAGCAAATAGTTTCCATCGAAAAAGTTGTATTTGATCATTCTGTTATTATCAAATTAGATTATAAGTATATGAAAGATAACAAAAAATGTTTTATTATAGCTAATTATGTGCCACCGGCCAGTAGCGTATACTATGATAATAATGACGTTGATATTTTTGAGGTCATAGAAGAAAAATGTATCTGTTTATAATGAATACGGAAATGTGATTGTTATTGGTGATCTGAATAGTAGAACCGGAACAAGTAACGATTTTATAGAAAATGACAATATTGGAAGTTTACCATAAAATGTTTTATCAAATGTTTTTTATTACTTACCTGATATTAATGTTACTGAAAGAAAAAGTACAGATAAAATTGTAAACACAATGGGAAGAAAACTTTTGAGTTTATGTAAAGCGAGTGGTTTGAGAATCGTAAATGGGCGACATCCGGGCGACGATAAAGGCGGTATTACATTCTATAATAGTTTGGGAACAAGTTTAATCGATTATGTTCTTGTTGATGAGTCAAATTTTGAAATCATAGGAAATTTTAAAAGCGGAGAGTTCAATCATTTTTCAGACCATTCGCCTATTGTGTTTACGGTAGAGATAATAATGAGCTGTTTAATTCTACGCGATGGAATCAGGAACATTTTGAGTTAATTAAAACAATGGTCAGGGATAATGCCGATAGTCTAATGCATACATGTATAAATATGGATATGTCTTTGGATAGTGTTAGTAAAAGTGTCGCAGATTTTTCTGAATTACTTAGAACCATTGCTGAACCTTATTGCGTTCAAGTTCCATCTTGTTATATATCTAAAACTATAATAAGGGAGATAAACCTTGGTTTTCAGAAACTTGTAAAGTAAAATTCAAAGAATACAAATTTGCTCTCTTAGTCTTTAATAAGAATAAAACACGTGACAATCATACAAGTTTGATCGATAAGAAAAAGGTATACAAGAAGCTAGAATTAAAACTGAAAGAGAATACAAGACCCAGAAGGGGTAACATGATGAATTACTTTAGAAAATATAACCGGAAAACACTTTACAGAAGTTTTAAAAGAAAGATAAAAGCGAGAAAATGTGATTTGAAAAGAGAAGACTTTTTGAACATTTTAAAAAATTCGGGTCTACTGTTCCTGATCGTAATGAGGAAGTTGATGCATATATGAATGCTTATGATGATTCTGGTAATGATATGAACCCTTAGTCTGAATTAGATGTAGAGATCACTGAGAGAGAGGTTTTATAAGCAATATCTAATTTAAAACAAAACAAGGCTTGTGGTGTTGATGGTTTGTTAAATGAAGTGTTTGTTACTTGGCATTGGCACCATGTCTAGAATTGCTTTTTAATGGAATATTTAGTTCTGGAATTTTTCCAGATAATTGGAATATTGGAACAATTATACCACTATTTAAGAAAGGGGATGTGAATGTAACTGATAATTATAGAGGTATTACATTAGTAAGTTGTCTTGGGGAAAAAAATCACTGCCATTTTAGATGAAAGATTAGTAAATATTGATAAAATACATAATATAATCACAGATGTACAATTTGGATTTAGAAAAAACCTTTCCACGATAGATGCTATTTTCGTACTACAATCATTAATTAATAGAACTCACAAAAAACGAAACAGACTTTACTGCTATTTTATATAATATAAAAAAGCTTTTGATTTTGTAAGTCGACAAAATCTTTGGTATAAAATGATTTAGGAAGGTATAGAAGGGGAATTCCTGAAAATAATAAGAAGTCTCTATGCCAATGTAAAATGTTGTGTTAAATTCAAAAGTTTTACTGAATTTTTCAAATGTGATTGTGGTTTATTCCAATGGGAAATATTATCTCCCTTGTTGTTTACATTATTTGTTAATTATTTAGAAATGGATGTTACAAAAAATAATTGCTTATTACTAGAAATTTAAACAATTAATTTATTTTTACTTATGTATGCAGACGATATGGTCAAACTATCGGAAACACCAGAAGACTTGCAGAAAATGTTAGACTCACTAGAAGATTACTGTAGAAAACGGAGCTTAACTTTAAATGTAGATGAAACAAAAATTTGTTATCTTTAGAAATGGAGGTTTAATAAGAGCAAAAGAAAAATGTTTTTATAATAATGATGCGATTGAAGTAGTTGATGAGTTTAATTATTTGGTCTCACTTTAAACTATAATGGAAAATTTACAAAAACACAAAAAAACACCTTACAGAACAAGGTCGAAAAGCACTATTTGCCATAAATAATGTATGTAAAAAGAAATATTTTAATATAAAATCTCGTCTTGCTGTTTTGGACACGTTTGTCAATAGTATTTTAATGTACGGTTCAGAAATTTGGGGATTTCATAAAGCACCCGAAATAGAAAAATTGCATATTGGATTTTTGAAATCATTATTAGGATTAAGAAAATCTACAAACACTGCATTTCTTTATATTGAATTTGGAAGATCTCATTTAAAGCTGTTAAGAAAGTTAAAAATTTCAAGTATTGGATTAAATTACAACGTTCTGATCACTGTTTGCTGAAAGCTTGTTATGATAATATGGTTGAAAATAAAGACCCCTGGATCCTTAACTTAAAACAAGATCTTTCAAGAGTCGGCCTTGGATACATGTTTGTGACTGATAGTATTTATCATTCTAGTGAAGTATATTAGCAGCGATTATGTGATAGTTTTCAGCAAGATTGTCTAGAGAAAGTTCATTCTTCTTCGAAAGGAGTATTATGTCAGCATTTAGTGGAAAGTATTAAATTGCAACCTTATCTTCATAAGGCAATTGATTTTAATTATTTAAAACATATTTCTAAGATACGTTTATGTGCGCATGACCTGTCTATTGAACGTTGCCGTAACAGAGATATACCTAGAGAAGAAAGAAAATGTATTTTATGTAATGAAAATGATATAGAAGATGAATTTCATTTTATAATTAAATGTAATCGCTATTCAGACCTCCGATATAAATACATAAGGAAATATTATTTCAAAAGGCCTAATATGTATACATTTGTTCAATTACTCAAAATCGAAAACACAAAAGAACTTAATAATTTAGGAAAGTATTTATCACTAGCGTTTAAACGTAGAGCAAATTTATTAAGAGGTCATCAATAGAACAGGTCATGTTTAGATACATGTTGTACATCAGTTTATTGTATACAAATTATGTAATATACCATTATATTGATAAGCCTTGTATGGGTGAATGGGGGTCAATAATGGTTCTGGCGTGTGTATGACTGTGAGTATGGTGAATGACGAATGATTGCTGCTGCTGTTGCTGATATGGTGATGATGATGATGATGTAATGATGTAATGATGATGATGATGATGATGATGATGATGATGATTATGATGATGATATGATGATGATGATTATGATGATGATGATTATGATGATGATATGATGATTATGATGATGATGATGGTGATGATGATGATGTTGATGATGATGATGATTATGATGATGATATGATGATTATGATGATTATGATGATGATGATGTTGATGATGATGATGAAGATGAGGAGGAGGAGGAGGAAGATGAGGATTATGAAGATGATGAGAATGATGTGTGCGAGTTAGTGTGAGTGTTCTTGATGGTGAGGATGATGTTTCAGAGTCAGTGTGAGTGTGTCCTTGTGAGTGTCTTTGTCTTACCTGTAATTGCCATAAGTTGTAAAACTTCAGCAAATAAAAAACTTGAACTTGAACTTGTTACGGTCAGTATCGTGTCTCGGGCCTCAACATGCTTTGGACTTGTAGACTTTTAAGTTACGGCTATTCATTGGTTTATTAACTTATAAGGATAATCCTACTTAATTATAACACATGGACAATTTCAAATGGCGGTGTATTGGCCAATGAAATATCCGTACTCCATTTATTTTATTTGTATCATATTAGAACTGTAATGTACATTCACCTTCCTTTATTATAAGGCAAAATGACACAAGTGTCCTTACAAACAATGATTTTCTTTTCTAGTCGATTAAATCGCTTTCCATAAAACGCTAAACTATAATAGAAACCAAAAAAAAGATAGACGTCGAATATATCTATACATAACATTGTTTTCGTTACCCGATTCAGGTAGTGATAAAATTGTTGAATGTGTAGCTTTAATACACATACAACGACCCTACTCGACCGATTACACCACTGCGCTGACGACGCTAGTGTCTATTAACCTGTGCATGGTCCAGGAATCTGATGCGGGTGCACACTGCCGATTGTAAGTGTTGTTTGGTTATTTGGTCAGCAATGCACACTCTATGTATTGTTAAGAATTGTAAGTTTACTTATGACAACAAAAAGGTATGAAATGCAACGTTCCAGATTGTTCCTATTGTTTGAGACTATTAATTGCGTCCTGGTTTGGCAGTGTAGTAGTGTGAGTGTTGTGTGCTAGAAAGACAAATCACGTGGTGTTGCATTTATATAAACATGATGGAGTTATTATTTTGTCATTTTCAATATAAGGATGAAGTTAACTGATGCTGAGTATAACAAACCCGCGAGTTCGCACGTGCCACCGTGTACTGTCATGACGCATCCTCAGGTATTTTTATACAGGTAGCTTTATCTGAATCCTGTGTCTAGTAACAGCAGAATTCAAGGCCGTGGCTATTGATACATGCGTTTCACGATAAAGACTCAAAATGCTTATTTCGCATTATTTTTATGAATTTAAAACAAATAATATGCTGTATGTAATACAGGATCGTACAATCATTACCAACAAGATTTTGAAAGGATTTAATTTCCACTAATACTGCCTGCGTCATGCCGTTACATGCTTTCTTTCAAAATACACGTCTTGATTTTGCTTTCCTGCACATATGAATGGCAAAAATGATTTACATCATTTTCGAATAACATTTCTTACACGTGTATTGCGATCCTTACTTTCAATTTGTGTCTTCCTGCATTTCAAACAAATGAGACTGTCCGCAACGATGAATTTTCCCGTATTTTCGGCAATTATTTGCGATAACAATAGTTTATTTTTATTGACTTGGTCTTTTTTATATTCTGACGCAACAATCCCACATTTATTTGGTATTTTAGCATCATTTGTTGGGTTAAATTAGACAGATTAAATCACTCGTGTCAATTGGAGGGTAAAACAATTCATAAATATTTTTTAAAATGATGTCTTATCTACAAAGCGTAGCTGTACTGTACACGTGTACAATGAGTTGTTGACATGATTGCATAGAAGATAAATCAATAGGTATATTATTAAAATCAAATAAAATGTTCCATTGGTTTGAAAAATATTGTTGAACTTAATTAAGGAAAAAGGTCACATGCCTTTAAGTATTTAAAAAAAAACACCTAAACGTGGATTCGAACTTGCACCGTCCATTTCGTCTGGTCACAAGTCAACTGCGTTACATGTTCGGGACGAAGACGGGAATACAAACTGTTTTAACCCAAGAAACACCTGTCGCAGTTTAAGAAATTCGCTCACCACTGTTTTTCATTATTTTGAGCATTTTCCCAAAGGAGGACCACTTTCCCGGAATACGATTTGTTTTTGCATATTACATCATGGGTTCAAATAGTTTATTCAAAAGTTGGTCCTCGGATGGGAAAGTGTTGATACCGTTTTTTAAGTCTGGGAAACGCCATCACTTTCATAGATATCGTGAATATGGCTATATTTACAGTATCATATTAACAATACCTAATATCTCAGCAGTTCAAAATTTCATATATGATTGGTTTTATATCTATTCTATGGATTTTCGCTGCTTGAAATTATTTATTCATTAATAATTTTTTTCCTGTTTGCATAAATGGCGACTTAGGGAAATATGGGCAGATTTCCGCCATAGCTCTTTCCGACAAATAAACAATAAAAAGACGCTTTATTTTAAGAATCCAGTCAACCGTACCATACTGATTACGGTTGTGATAATACATTTAACGACACATCCATTGGTTACAAATCTAGTATTATAGAACGATAAATCATGCGGGTGCGCGTATGATACGCTTCAAAATGCCTCCTCCGCCTATGTTAATAGGCGCGCCGCGGGACTGGTATCATATGTCGAATGACGGGCCCCCCTTTAGGTGTGAACTGTATGTATTTAAGGATTTGCTAGCGAACAAACAAAAACAAGAAAGTTTCTATTTAACTCTTCATACTTAGAACCTGTCAAACTTCCGGTTAGAATGATGACTTGAAATAATGAATGTAAATATGACAAATACTGATTTCGTGTGTTGATGAGCGATGTTGATGGATAGGCAGATTTGATTGATTGATATAAACACTTGATATCAAGCATGACATCAGTGTTAATTGTTTATTTCTTCTCAAACATATCGAGATTACATAGACAAAACAAGAAAACTGCCCACATGGTCAAAATGATATAAACGCGCAACTTGTTGTCATTTGAAGACATATAAGCATCACGTGACAAATGTTAAATGTGCGCAAAAGAACAGACTAGTTTAGATAATTAGATTATCTACGTCACCCCGCTTATCATTGGTGTTCATGACAGTTTGCTGGTAGAATATACATAATCAACATGTGTTTGCATAGTATGGTGAAAACTATTACTTGGGATGCGAAAATGTTGAACATTTTTATATCAGGCCACAAGCAGCCTTCGTTATTTTTTGCCAACATTTTCTCACCCTCGTTCTATTTTCAAACATAAAACACGCATATACATTTCTTATTTCTGAAATAATTTTGCATCAATTGAACTTTTTTATCAAATCAATTGTGAAATGTATTTTCTGATTTCAGTCAGGATAAAATACGAAATCAGCTATGACGTCTGTGGATGATGTGTCCGATATTCTCTCCGAGATAAGAGATCTTTTACCAACTAAGTTTAATATTAGCGAAAAAGTTGAGATTGCCAAAGAATATTTCCAAAAGGATGACGGATCATTAAATCTAACAAGATTAGAGGAAGTCTACACCATTTTGAAAGACCTTTATGGATATCTTCCCGAGTTCACAAGTGGCGATCCCTCCAGGCTGTTACAGGGCTTGGTGGGGATAGTGTCATCTGTCTCCTCCTTCACAGGCGTGGGAGGGCAAGCTGTTCCCGTCATCTGTGGTGTGTTTCGTAAAGTTTTCGCCTCTTTTGGGGGTAACAAAGTCACCATAGGAGAGGTCGTCGAAGGTGAAATCAGACGGGTATTTTCTATTCACAGCGACGAAACACTCCTGGAGGAGGGCGAGGACCTCCACCTCATGTACCGGTTTGCTTTTGACTTCCTTAACCCAACAAGTGAGAGAAGTGAATTTTCGAAGCATGATATTACAAACATGAATATTCAAATGAATGTTTTTCAAGGTGCCACTTTTCTTCGCAAGCTTGGAAAGTTGACCAGGGAGCTGGCAAAGGAACATGAAGAATCCGACCCTAACAAAAAGTCTGAGAAAGCCAACAAAGCTAGGCAATTCATCGAGTTATACATAAAGCTTGCATTACTGAGTGACATGGTTCTGTTGAACTTCTTTACAATCACCAACTCCACAAGTCACAGCCAGCATCTGGCCGGAGGAATACAGCGGGTGATCGGCTCCTTTGATGAACAGGACAGAGAAGCTCTCGGTATGCTTCTCAAACCCACGAAAGAATACGTCTACATTGCGTCATACATCAATGAAGAGGAGTGCGAGCTTTTCATGAAGTTTCTTGAGCATAAAAATCTCCTGTTGGATCAGAGTTGGTTGCAACACGGACAGTTTGAACTTTGTTCAGTTAAATGGCCAAAGTGCCACGCTTTACGCCTGAGGGCTCACACATCGGTCTTTGGAAACGGCGATCTGAGGTTTTTACGCGGTACTAAGGAAGCGGCTGGACCGGAATCCTTGTTTTGCTTTAAACAAATCCATCCGAACAGAAGTTATTTTTCTATTACTCAGATGGGGAATGCTGATGAGTTTGTAAGCATGACGAAGGGCTCAAACAGATGGGTGATGTCTCTAAAAGGTGTTCAAAATCCCGAGAACGAATGGAAGATCATCCAGATGGAGAACGGAAACTATGTGTTTTCTCCGCGTGCTTTTCCTGATTATTTCATGGGTATGACCAAACTGTTGGATGGAAGTATTGCCGGATTCCTCGGAGGTTATAATGAACAGGTTCAGTGGACACTTAAAGTCTCAGAATGAGTCCCTATCTTTCTAAACTCCGATTTCACTAAAACGTTACTACGTATGTGACAAATCGTATATTTGGAGTGTTAGTGCATTTTTTCAATATTGCAATAAACAAGTATTCAAACTATTCAAAAATATAAACAAAACTTGACGAGATTTTAAAAGTGCACCTGCATAAAATCACAACTTAGATGTAATATATTATTTTTTTAGTGTGAAATAGAAATGTGATTTGATGGTGTTATGACCAAGGTAACGGGCTACTTTACACAGAACATGGAATATTAGAACAAAGCATGCTGTGTTAACTATGGTTTATATTGCACAGCTGTCACTCAGAAAATAGGAAACAAATATCCGGATTAGGAACACCCTGAAATCACCTGTTTAGGTAATAGGAGATTAACAAAATTCATCTATGGAAACTTGTTTAACTGTTAGCATATCTGTTTGAAAGATATCTCAAATTGGAGAAAAATTTAATGTGACGATCTATCTTTAAAGAGAAATGAACAGTGACAAAGTATGGCACTAAAATCTTTTAATGATAAAGCATTTCATTTTCAAAATATAGAACAAACATATCTCATGAGTATTACGTACAGTTTTTTTTGTTACACTATAACCACGATTATATAGATATTGACACAGCGATATCAGATGTCCGTCGTGTAAGCGACTTGACCAAGGATCCCGCTTGACTAATGTATTTAACAATTTTGCTACAGTGTTTTCGCCTCTACTTTGTTGTGGGTTTCATAATGAATGTTCACAGTGACTGTTTTCCAGAATGTGTAGCCTTACATCACATAGACCAGCGGTTACATCTATTTACCTGTATTTAGGTGTATTAGTATTATGAGTTAAGTTGTTTTGCGATAAGTTGACACTTTTATCTGCCTCCTAATCGATTAAGGATTGTAACATTGTAGTACTGGATAAAGGGGAATGCTATGACGTTGCTTTTATACCAAAAGAGTTTATTTGTATTTCGTTATATCAAACATTGATCGTGTAAATATATATGGCATTGAGTATACTTATGTACTTTTTGTCATATTTATGACATGCATTGGTGTGTGTCATACATTGGCTTACCTATATTGAATGGTGCGCGCTAGCGCACCATGTTAAATATGTAGGTAAGCCAATGTATGTTACACACCAGTGCATGTCAAAAATATGACAACCAATACTGATATTTACATTTTATGCTAATCAACTTACAGTTCAGGCAGAAATAAAGACATAATATTAGTCTGAACATGTTTAAACGTCAGGGTAAATCCATACAGAGAACAGCCATCAGTTGACAGCAGAGCAGTGCAATATCCTACGTTACAGTTATGACGACATAAGCATAGTGACGTCACAATAGCCCAATGTATGTTTTATGGCCCGGTAGAAACATCTAGGCTCTGTGCAGTGGAAATGTAAATATAAAGCAATGAAGCTTTTAAATGTAAATGTCATACATAATCCCACTGCTTGTATCGTTAGCAGAATTTGGGACTTTGATTTTATGTCCTCTATTTGGGGACATAAAAGCGACCAAAATAAATATACTGTTCTCATTACAATATTTTGGATCTTGGTATTTCTGTCTACTTTTAACTACCTTTTATTTTCTAGCGCCTTGCTTGGCAATACCTGACTTTTGGCTTTATGATGAATGTTTGCCCAGGTGAGGAAGGCATTGGGTTCTGTGCCAAGGCTGGGACATACCAAAGACATTAAAAAATGCAGTTGTTATTCCCTGTTTGAAGTTCAGCATTAAGGGTAAAAAAAAAACTGGTTCAACCGTTGTCAGTATAATGCGACCGGGCGGAATGCTTGATGCCTTCGGCCTGGTATTTAAATGAGACAGCACTATAAAGTCGGCATAAAATCCGCGCTACCATGCAAATACACCAAAATACACTGTATCCGGCACACATACACACATGCACGCATACACACCACACCTGGAAGCACGTCCTTCCATTATTTTAGCTGTTGATAGGACGTTAAGCTCTGTACAACCAACCAACCGATGGCGGCCAGACACTTTCAGGTCAATTTATGTTGAAAAGTGTACGGCTGTCCAACATTTAGGGTACTTTTGTAATTTGATGACCTTGCAATAAAGTTTTCATTCATTTTGCGAGTTTTTCCTGGTACTTGATTTACAGCCGAACACGACCGAGATGGAATGAGCAATGCAATATGTTTCTTCTGAAGATATATCAACAATATGTATATATTAGGGTTGTCAACGGTTAAACGGTAACTCAGTCGGAAGACCACGAACCGACTACCAAACTCAATAACCGAATAGTCGGACATGTATTTACCCCTTTTGGGAGCCCCATGTTGTCCTGACTTAGACCTACAAATGATCTATAGAAGCGACCAAAATCAATCGGATAATTTTGTAATAAAAACAGTATTTAGGCTGACATGTTAGTCTTGTACTTGTACTCTATAGTAAATAGTGACAAGGAGATGCCACCACACCAAACAAAGTCTGAACAGATTTCGAAAGGATCAACTGTTAAAGATAGAAAGCGCTTTTTCATACAAGATGTAAATATAATCTGAAGAGTACACACTCGAATGAGCACGTATGTCTTTAAACGTTCGACGATCAAATGTTGTTTTAAAGAACAATGTTTTTGCTGTTATTTGTTGTTTTATTACCGAATTGACCAATTAACCGGTTACTCGATCGGAAAATTGTTCAAGTAACCGGTAACCAAATTTTGACCGGATTGACAACCGTAAATGTTTAGGGTGGAAAGGAGACTGTTTTTAATCGTAATCGGACCATTTATGCTCCTGATGTATTTATAAATAGTGAAGAAACAAGTGATACATTTCCATTTTATTAGGAGGTTACCTGACAATTTGAAAGTGTACTGTGGTTCCGATTTACTTTAGAACAGAAAAATGTTGAAAACTGCCAGACCGCTAATGATTGCTAAATAATGCGGTATTTTGATAATATCCTCATTAAAATTCGTATCATATCATGGTAAACAATTATAATCATCGATTATAATCAACGTGAACAGCAGGTGTATTTTTGAACATTTGACCGTGCTACCGCGATGATGTACAGGAAGTTAACACGATATGACAGGTGATACGCAGCGATCTGTATACAGCTACAACCCCGTTTATATACCGGGTGTACAGGTAAAAGTACACATACTTGTTCGTGTCAATCCTTCTTACATAGATACACATACTGATATGTATACATCCCTGGTATAAAATACTACTAACATAGATACACATAATGATTTGTATACATCCCTGGTATAACATACTACTAACATAGAAACACATACTGATTTGTATATACATCCCTGGTATAACATACTACTAACATAGATACACATACTGATTTGTATACATCCCTGGTATAACATACTACTAACATAGATACACATACTGATTTGTATACATCCCTGGTATAACATACTACTAACATAGATACACATACTGATTTGTATACATCCCTGGTATAACATACTACTAACATAGATACACATACTGATTTGTATACATCCCTGGTATAACATACTACTAACATAGATACACATACTGATTTGTATACATCCCTGGTATAACATACTACTAACATAGATACACATACTGATTTGTATACATCCCTGGTATAACATACTACTAACATAGATACACATACTGATTTGTATACATCCCTGGTATAACATACTACTAACATAGATACACATACTGATTTGTATACATCCCTGGTATAACATACTACTAACATAGATACACATACTGATTTGTATACATCCCTGGTATAACATACTACTAACATAGATACACATACTGATTTGTATACATCCCTGGTATAACATACTACTAACATAGATACACATACTGATTTGTATACATCCCTGGTATAACATACTACTAACATAGATACACATACTGATTTGTATACATCCCTGGTATAACATACTACTAACATAGATACACATACTGATTTGTATACATCCCTGGTATAACATACTACTAACATAGATACACATACTGATTTGTATACATCCCTGGTATAACATACTACTAACATAGATACACATACTGATTTGTATACATCCCTGGTATAACATACTACTAACATAGATACACATACTGATTTGTATACATCCCTGGTATAACATACTACTAACATAGATACACATACTGATTTGTATACATCCCTGGTATAACATACTACTAACATAGATACACATACTGATTTGTATACATCCCTGGTATAACATACTACTAACATAGATACACATACTGATTTGTATACATCCCTGGTATAACATACTACTAACATAGATACACATACTGATTTGTATACATCCCTGGTATAACATACTACTAACATAGATACACATACTGATTTGTATACATCCCTGGTATAACATACTACTAACATAGATACACATACTGATTTGTATACATCCCTGGTATAACATACTACTAACATAGATACACATACTGATTTGTATACATCCCTGGTATAACATACTACTAACATAGATACACATACTGATTTGTATACATCCCTGGTATAACATACTACTAACATAGATACACATACTGATTTGTATACATCCCTGGTATAACATACTACTAACATAGATACACATACTGATTTGTATACATCCCTGGTATAACATACTACTAACATAGATACACATACTGATTTGTATACATCCCTGGTATAACATACTACTAACATAGATACACATACTGATTTGTATACATCCCTGGTATAACATACTACTAACATAGATACACATACTGATTTGTATACATCCCTGGTATAACATACTACTAACATAGATACACATACTGATTTGTATACATCCCTGGTATAACATACTACTAACATAGATACACATACTGATTTGTATACATCCCTGGTATAACATACTACTAACATAGATACACATACTGATTTGTATACATCCCTGGTATAACATACTACTAACATAGATACACATACTGATTTGTATACATCCCTGGTATAACATACTACTAACATAGATACACATACTGATTTGTATACATCCCTGGTATAACATACTACTAACATAGATACACATACTGATTTGTATACATCCCTGGTATAACATACTACTAACATAGATACACATACTGATTTGTATACATCCCTGGTATAACATACTACTAACATAGATACACATACTGATTTGTATACATCCCTGGTATAACATACTACTAACATAGATACACATACTGATTTGTATACATCCCTGGTATAACATACTACTAACATAGATACACATACTGATTTGTATACATCCCTGGTATAACATACTACTAACATAGATACACATACTGATTTGTATACATCCCTGGTATAACATACTACTAACATAGATACACATACTGATTTGTATACATCCCTGGTATAACATACTACTAACATAGATACACATACTGATTTGTATACATCCCTGGTATAACATACTACTAACATAGATACACATACTGATTTGTATACATCCCTGGTATAACATACTACTAACATAGATACACATACTGATTTGTATACATCCCTGGTATAACATACTACTAACATAGATACACATACTGATTTGTATACATCCCTGGTATAACATACTACTAACATAGATACACATACTGATTTGTATACATCCCTGGTATAACATACTACTAACATAGATACACATACTGATTTGTATACATCCCTGGTATAACATACTACTAACATAGATACACATACTGATTTGTATACATCCCTGGTATAACATACTACTAACATAGATACACATACTGATTTGTATACATCCCTGGTATAACATACTACTAACATAGATACACATACTGATTTGTATACATCCCTGGTATAACATACTACTAACATAGATACACATACTGATTTGTATACATCCCTGGTATAACATACTACTAACATAGATACACATACTGATTTGTATACATCCCTGGTATAACATACTACTAACATAGAT